AGATGAAGATATTGTTCTATTTTTAAAAGCAAAGTAACTTTCCAGAACTCTTCTTCATTACTTCAAATTATCATTTCTTAAAGAAAAGAGGATTGGGGGCGGTTGGTGCCTGTGTCTCAAGGAGTAGGGCCACTGGCCCCATATACCAGGGGTGGTGGGTTTGAGCCTGGCCCCAGCCAAAACTGCAAAAAAAAAAGAAAGAAAGAAAGAAAGAAAGAAAGACAGACAAGAGGATTGGTTAACTAACTTTTCAAGATCATGCCAATAGGATCCTTGACATTTAAGAAAAGGGCCTTTAAAATAAAAGGAATTGTGTATTTTTCACCTCTGAAATAGATGAATTGTTTTCACATATGCAAATGAAGAAATCCTACAAGGTCAAAAGATATTGAATTAAGTAATGTAAATTTAAAAAAATCTATTATTAGTATGATACAGGGTCTAGCTAAGAGTTACTCTTAGTATGTGAGTCATATGTATGAACTTTTGCAATGTGATGATATTATACAACAAAATAACTTTTCAAAAATTTTATAAGTCTGCTAAATTTGAGTGACAATATAAATGACCAATAAATTCCTTTCAGCCCATTCCCTTTAAAATAGTAGTACTGAATATCATAAAAAGAGTACAACGAGGAGAATATAAACACAATTCTCACAAATATTTCCTTAGAAAGTAGCAAAATGTCAATTGTGTATGATAAATAAAATTTCCTCTGTGTAGGGAGAAAAAACAAATTATTCTTTTAATAAGAATATAATCATTTATATAATAAGGGCAGGTGTTTTGAAATAATTTTCTTATGCCAATTTACTGAGAAATTTGTGCTGAATTTGGTGTGGGAAAGTGAAGAAGATTCTTGTGATCCCTAAGACAGGACTGTTCATCAGTCATTAGAATTCAGAAGAATTACAGAATGTCTTAAATTTTCAGGTTATTTTTTAAGAAAACACTGATATTAGATTTAAATATTAAGGAAAAATACAGAGGGGTGGGAACTCAGCAAAACCGAAAGTCTGTCTGATTTTATCAGACACACAGTCCTGTAATCTGGGAGTCATTTCTAGGCTACTGATCAGCACAATTTGGTGAATTCAAAAGAAAAGGCTGCATTTTCCCCATTGAAATGGTGCTATCTGAAACAAGAACTAGGACTGTGTATAAGTGCAGACATTCTTCTTAGGAAGGTGAACCTTCGGACTCATTTTCATAATGCTGTTCAACGTGATCTTTATGGGAATGAAGAATGCCTTGGCCACTCACGAGTAGCATGTTATTATTGTCATTATGAATCCATTAGACATATTCAAGTGAGCTGAGTAAAAGCCCTAGTACCAAATTCTCCTTCTCCTGCTTTTAATGTAGTATTTAGCAGCATGCAAAACTGTCCTGTATTTATTTTTGCCTATGGTAAAAATCCTAAGAAAATACAAAAGTCTTTTGCTTTGACCTTGAGTATCAATAGAAGAGTTGAATGTAGTGATGAATTTTGAGTATTAAGTTGCTGCATTTGTGACATATATTAATCAGGAAAGCACAGCTATATCTGATAAATATAGTGGTAGTGATTAGTGAATCTAGAACATTCTGCTGTAAGTGTAAAGTTGGGAAGTAGGAAGGGGGTCTAAATGATTAACAAGAGCGTACAATTCAATTGTCTTTGGAAGCCTTACTTTCTTTCTATAAAATGGTGTAAAATATATATGCCTGCACATAAATGAAAATATGCACATGGACCAGATTGCAAAAGAGACATGTAGCATGTCTGGGAAGATCTTATTTCAGCTTAAAAATTATTCTTGGAACATTCTATCATAGGGGTGTACTAGCTATCTTCGATCAACTTTTCCTTTGCCCAACAGCCTTCTCTTGCCACTGAAGTCTATTCTGCTACCTCAGCAGGTGTGTGTGTGTGGGGTAAATGTCTCTTTCTCCTAGGGCCCCTTAATTAATAACTGACAGTAGCTGGTGTAATGGCTCCGGCTTTCTGAACCCTTGAGTGGGATAATGCTGAGGCTTACACCAGCCGCCATCATCTATCAGTAGCAAGAAGCTCTAGTTACTAGCTAGTTCTACTGATTCCCCTCTCTTGTTTCCGTATTCCTCTATTCATGAATCTTCACCTCCAAAATAAACTACTTTCACTCAAATCCTTATTTCAGGAGCAACTTCTACTTCCAGAAGAACTCTAAGACATATATTAAACATATAGCTTTTAACCTAATAACTCTAGAATACTTGCAATTTCAATTAAATCCTTAGGTCAAAATTACAAATAATTTCCCTTATGCAAACCTTTCGATTGTGGTTTAATTGTTTACTCAAATATTTATAATGATTTGTACACCTAACAGATGAGCTAAAAACATAGGCATAGGTTTATGTTAAAATTACATCAGTAAACTACATAAAATATTGAATTCACCATCCATGACACCAGTTAAACTATCTTTTAATCATTATGATATTATCCTTCTAATGTTTTGAAAGAAGTCATCAAAATATAGGAAGCATTTCTGCCTAATATTTACTGAAACTTTGCCAATAGCAGTCCATCAATCTGTTAATCTTCTAGCACCTATCCACAAGTTGGAAAGGCACAGTCAAAATATTTTCCTCAACTTTTCTTAACTTTTAAAAAGAAAAAATTCCATTGACTCTGTTGGGTACCAAATCCATCAACCATCTAGGAAAATGACTCCTTTCATGGTTCAATCAGAGCCTCATCTAAAATTCAGCCGGAAATCTAAGACTTCAAGTTGCCATCTCCACTCCTGTTTCCATGGGGATAGACTTCAGATCAAGAAAAGAAAAAGTGGATGGGGTTAGGAGCTTTCAAATAATCATTCAAAATCATGATGAGGTTTTTAGAGCTTTTTTCCTTAGATTATTATTTTGTAGCCTCTTACCCCCCCTTTTCCCAGTCTGTTTCCATGGAAATATGACAAAAATGGCTACCCAAGCCTCCTGCAGAGATCATTAGCATTCTTGTAAACTTCAGCATTGGCCGTAGCTTAGGTAGGGCAAGATATTTTTTCCTATCAGTATTATAAATTAACCAACAGCTTATATTCATGGTAAGTTGTCTTTATAATTTCTACTTTCTTTCTAAATTCTGTTTACAAATCTATAGTTGTGATCAAGATTAATTTTGAGTAATTGGGACATCACTGAGCAAGCCATCAGTTTTAATTTTTAACATATGTGCCAGGACATGTAGTTGCAGAGAGTATTAAAAACTTCAGACACCTGCAGAAAGAACCGTTATTTAGTTACAAGACTCATCTGTTAGTTAGGCACTGCAAGATACGCAACAAAGATGATGTTTAAAATATGTGGCAATTGGTAAGGCATGGACCCAGCTGATTAGAACATCTGATTTGTATAGCCCTATTATATAATCACCAATAATAAGTTAAGCCAAAAAGTAGTCTTGTGCAAGGTGGTTAGTCTTAGACACAAACAAATTATTCAAGGTCACAGACTGAGCTTGTGAAAAATTTGCGAAAGAATTTACAAAAGAAACTGGGTAGAAAACGTAGCAATCCAGCTTTTAAAAAGTATCAAAGCGCATATGCTTGCATCATCTTTCATATGCAGGTCATTTTAGAATCCAAATCATCCTTATTACTGAAGACATTGTGCTAAAAAATAGAGAATGAACATATATGGCCTTTGATGGAACCCCTGGCAAGATACCTTGTGTTGAATGTAAAAAAAACACAACAGCGTGCTGCATATATAGTTTTATCCCATCCTACTCTCTGAAATTTGCTGAACAGCTCAATCTACACTTTGTGCTAAGGGAACGCTTAAAGTGCTGATTGACCTTGTAAAGTACATTCGTTCTTTAGAACTCTATTCTTATTCTATAGATGCAGTTATTTTACCAATAAAAAACAATTCAAATTCAGAATTTGAATTGAAAAAAAATTAAATTACAAGGGGTAATTACCTACTCAGGTAGGATTCTAATTTAAATTTAGCAGAGACTAATTTACTATAGAAACTAACGCTGACTGATATTTTAAACCAAATAGATCATAGCCATAATAAAATAAAGCAGTACAATTAATTTTTGAAGTCATCATTACTATTCCCCACATGCTGTTTGGCATAGTAGGTAAACATACAGCCCTGGAAAGCGGGGGACTGCCTGCAGGCCAAATCTGGCCTACAGCTTGTTTGTGTAAATAAAAAGTTTTGTTGGAACACAGTAACACCCACTGGCATTTCCTTTTGCTTCAATTGTCTATGGTTGCTTTCCCACCAAAAAAGAAAGTGTTTAATAATTGCTATAGAGAACACAGATCATGTAAAATCTACCTATTCTTTGCCCTTAAAAAAAAAAAAAAAAGTTTACTGATCCCTCCTCAAGGCTGACTCCTGAACGCAAAGACTAGACCTACCATTTCCTAACTTTGTGACCCTGGGTTAACCTTGGGTTAAACTCAGGTTCCTGGATTGTCATATCTTAGAATTAAATGAGTAACTATTTGTGAATTACTTATAACAATGTGTGGTACTTCTTAGTAAATATTAGTGACTAATTACCATCACCACGCAGTCCTTGCCTCACTGCCACTAATTTTAAGAAATACACTCATGATATTTACTTATAAATACATGGGTACATTTGGTTATCTTCGGTTGTTTAACATATATTCAGTTCAATTACATACTGCATTTACTTGAAGGCTATTTGGCCATATTTATCAACAAAATATAAAACCATTTTATATCTGCAATCACATAAAAAATAATTCACCTTTGGGATTACAAATATCTCTGAATTCTAATTTCTAATGAACTATCTAGGCAGATAGTTGATAATATAATGTGAAGTGGTTTTAGAAATTTCTTCAATTACAAGATTATACTATTTCCATGGGAAAAAAAACTTTATAAGTTGTGCCATCTTTCTTAAAATTAGTTTTTAAAGCAGGTTATTTGATAATGTATAAAAATGTATCCATTGCCTGGGCATCTATACTTACATCCATGAACTCCACGTTGGCCTTGGGACCAGTCGTCTCATTAAGAATCTTAATAGCTACAGGAATCTTCACTGTTTCTCCTTCAGGCACCCAAATACCCTTTGATGAAAAAAAAATTCACATTACATTTGACTTCTTAAATATCAATTTCTTAAAAACCAATTTAGAAGTTATATGTTCCTTCATTCACCAACAAACATTTATTTAGCAGTTGTTATACATTATGTCACTCCTCAACTTTGTTGTTTGTTTTCATTATCTGAAGATGAATACACATATATGATTCCAAGGTGTTTACACCATTCTCAAGTTCAACTTTTGTGCATGAAAAAGACTGAATTGTGAATACCTAATTGAAAGAGGAGAGAATAACAATATCTCACTTGGATAATATCATCAACTTTTCAAAACTTTGAGAAGGCTGTTCCATTTTTGAACTTCAGTTGCCATTTGTAATTTAGTGGATTGAGCTAAGTAATGTCACAGGCCCCTTTCAGCTTACATGTTTTCTAATTATTTTGCAACAACAATAAAATCATTAAAAAAGTGTATTTTAATGTTCCCAAACTTCAGATTGTTTTAAGAATTAATTTTTAACAGTATTTATTTGAGATTTAGTTTCAAAGAGAAGTAGTGGAGTGTATTAATTTTTCCACATTATGAAAAAGTATGTATGTGTTTGTGAAGGATTTTTATTATCTCTAAAGAAGTATAAGATATTTCTATTGGCCACTAACTTTCTCCTATCAAAATATAATTATAAGAATTGAATAAGATCTATGCATTGGGAATGAATGAAGTTGGTAGAATTTACATTAAGCTAAATGATAGCATTTCTGGACAAAGTGAATTCAAAGATTTGAATGGGGACTATGATTTTGATAAGACATATAAGATGACCAGATCATATAAGAATACTATTTTAAAAGACATGTTGTCCCAAAGGAACACAAAAGCAAATATGAGGTCAACGGGGAAAATAATCTCAAATTTTGATTTTTTCAGCCCTAACATCGTAACAGTCCTTTTATAAAAGTTCTAACATTAAAATAACAGCAAGGAAAACATACTCTGGTATTCCTGAGCAGCTCCACTTCCTATCTTTCTTAATATCGCTGGGTACAGTCAAAATAAAAGATAAAAAAGGTTTCTTCCCTTTGAACTTCTATGCTGAAACATATGTATTTGAGTTACTCAAAATTGTAATGATAAAAGGAGACCTGAACACAAGAATTATTCAAAAGTATAGTAGAAATAATAAAGAAAATAAAATACTTTAACCTTTAGAAAGTGAATTGATGATTACTTTCTTTATGAGTGAATAGGGACATAAATGAGTCAAATGCAAAATAATAAGCCACATTTCTTGTGTAACATTTGAATAAATTAAGGCAGAAACTGGAAAAAAAAGCCCAGGCTATTTTTTCTCATTGGTGGTATCTAGGGTGGAAAATAGGTTTACTATTCATTAGTCAATAATCTAGCTGCAGAGGGGGTCACTTTGTAAAGATATTGCATCATTATCAAAGTATCCCTAAAGTATGCATATAAAATAAAAATAGAAATTCCATGTGAATTAATTTATACTGGTTTTTTTAAATAAGTAAGTATAATCATCATTTTTTAGGCCTGGCCAGATAAAAATCAAACTATGCTGATATCCATGATATTGGTTCATATCTTTGAGCTGACAGCATATTTCTATTTAGGAGAAAAAAATAACCAAGTCATTGGTTAAGCTAATTTGCATTTCTATGGTCAGGAATAATCTTTTATAGTTTAAAACAGTATGTCCTTATAACAAGTAATATTGTTATTAATATTAGGGTCAACCATATACATGCCAGGCATAAAATTCAGACAAATTTGTGGAATTTCCAATAAATTTTTATTATAAGTAATTTCAATAAAGGCAAAACATTCATAGACAACAGACAAATAACTGCTCTTAAAAGAAGCATGGCTGGGTGTGTCATTCATGCCTCTCATCTCAGTGCCCTGGAAGGCTGAGGTGGGGGTTGCTTGAGCTCAGGAGTTTAAAACCAGCCTGCATAGGAGTGAAACCCCATTTCTACGAAAAACAGAAAATCTAGCTCGGTGCAGTGGCACATGCCTGTAGTCCCAACTATTTGGGAGGCTGAGGCAAGAGGATTACTCAAGCCCAAGAATTTGAGGTTGCTAAGAGCTATGACACCATGTCACTATACCTAGGGAGACAGAGTGAGGCTGTGTCACCAAAAAAAGAGAACAGCATAAGAAAGCCTTATTATTAAATGTTAAATATGTAATATTTTTTTCCTGCAAATCATCAAATAGTATTTAGTCTTGAGTTACAGAGCATCCATAGTTTAAAATAAAACTTAATTTCCATGCTATATTATCTTTTTTTTTTCTTTTACAGTTTTTGGCCGGGGCTGGGTTTGAACCCTCCACCTCCAGCATATGGGGCCCATGCTATATTATCTTTAAAAATATAAGGGTGATAGTACTTTCTAACAATACCATATTGAGTTACTTTAAATGTCAAAGTTTATTGTAATGCATTTAAATTTGGTCATTTATCTCTATCTTTCTTCTCCATAAACACATAAATATGCTTACTATTTTAAATATGCTTTAAATTTTGTCAATGTGACATGGAGAATTGGTAACAGACCAAAACTTAAGGGCTGGAAACTCTAATATGCTTCAACAAAGAAATCCTCCCTTATATCTATGGATATGGAGGTTTGAGGGGGAAAATTCTGGACGAGATAATTAGAATGAGGCTTTCTGGTGGCGAGGTGACCCAGAGTGATGGTCAGGACTGACTCAGTTCAGTGCATTACTTTCCATTTTCCAATTGTTAAAATCAAGTTTAGAACTTAGGCTATTACGTTTATTAATCCAAATAATGTTCTTGATTTTGTTTTCCCATAAAATGCCTAAAATTTAAAATTATTAAAAAGGCATGAATAAAACTGCAAAATAAATAGATTAGAATTTTGAGTCTATAAAATGATACTATGCAAGTTCTTTTTCTCAAACATAATATTTGTGTATAAGCACCGAAACAAGATAAATTGTGTTTCTTTGAATGGACATAGAATTTGAAAATTTGAAAAGGCATCAAGTCTGCTTAGAATAACGCCTACTAGGCAAAGCAGGTGTTCAATTAACAAACTGAACAACAAATGCATACTAGAACAATCAAGAAATGTCTACACTTTGACCTTAGGATAAAACAGTTTCAATTTTTGGAATTTAGATTATTTCAGAACACTCAGGGCAGAAAAATTTGGATTTATATTCTAATTGTTAATATTTTCCATTCAATCAGTGTTTTAAATACAAAACAGAGAACATTTTAAACTGTAAAATTCTTGACAGCCAATTTATTTTATCAGATATGTTTGTACAAATGTAGGTTTGCATATAGCATTAAGAATAATGTTAAGCTGCCAAAGTCAAGTCTGAGAATTATTGTAATGAACATTATAAGCAATATTTTAGCATTAGCACAACAGAGTTTCTTATTCTTTCTCTTTACCGTTAAACTAAATTCTACCATTATTAAACTTGGGCCTCCATAGGTCTTATAATTAAGTCAAGTAATAAACATACAAATGCCTTCAGCTGAGCTTCTCCTTTCTAGAAATATGTGTTGTTAAAAATGTACAATATCACACTTTTCACCAATCTGACCTGAATTTTACATATAAAGACACTGTTTCAGTTTGACAATAACAAGGAGGACATCAAAACTAGGAAAATTATTTATAAAATCACAAATGTAATTAGGTAAGCAAAAAATGACTTAGGAACTAAACTATTATAGCATAAGCACATTCATGTGGCTTCTGAGGACATTAGCTAGTATAGTCCTGACAGAAAGGCTTTTGGATAAAAAAAAAAAAAAAGCATAAGAAAAAAAGAGCAAGATATTATGGCACACCACCCAGGTATGTCCAGGATTTCATGGGGCACCATGTACTGGTAAAGAAAATTGGTTTGGAGCTGGCAATTTTGGATAAGAATGATAATTTGCCAAAGGGAAGATGATATGAAAAGGGCCAGGAGGGCACTGACATAAAGAACCATATTGGCTGGCTTTGCACCTTGCTTCCTGCCTGTTTCTCAATACTACATCCATTCCAGTTGATTCAATAAAAATGAATGAACTCATTTGTGCATCAAACCTCTCAATTCTATAATGGTATTCCTCTCTGAATATTAAAGGGAAATTAAGTTGGTTAAAGTAATAACTCTGGCTATTATTTTTCTAAAGTCTGAAACAGGACTTCAGATAACTGATAGTGTGTGTTGTTTTATACTTACTTTATAAACGGTTCCAAAGGCACCTGAGCCAAGGACTTTGACCCTCTTCAGCTCAGTTTCTTTCAAAATGCGAAGCTGAGCTTGATTGGGTGCTGTGCCACTGGGGGTTAAGGGTTCTACCAGCTGCAAAGCAAAAACAATATAGGGTTATACAACTTTCAGTCCAAAAATCAGTCCTCTCTCTGGGCCTCTCTCTTGTACACGCGAACACACTTCCCTGCACACACTTTTCTTGTTATGTGCACCACTCCCTCTCCCCAACCACACACATCCTTTCTCTTTTCTTGCTCTTTACCAGGGTCAACATAAGTAACAAATATGTGCCTACCTTGATGTAGCCTAGGCTAGGAGATTCCATACATCAGAAAAAAGAAAAAGGGAAGAAAGAAATGCTACCTTCTTAGAGCTTCAAAAAATCTAGCTGGGAAGCCAGGTGGTCCTGATTCAGTAGATCTGGACTATGCTTAAAATTTTGTCTCCTTGTAAGTCAGAGAATTCCAGGTGCTGCCTATATACTATCGTGGTCCTTAAACCCATTTTATGGACGAAGACTATTCCTTGATTTGATTCTCGATCATAAGTGGATTCTATTAAATGCAAGAAATAAAATACCCCCTGGGGAGTGAAACTGCGTTTGGCTTCCCAAAGGGGTACACTTAAACATCAGTCTTGAGAAAATGAAAATGGATTGACATTGAGGGTGGGGCATTGCTTCTGCACAGCAGAAGGCAGATGCAGGAACACACACAAGGCAATAGAGCAGAAAGCGTGGCCGGTAAGCCGGGTGAGTTTAGGGTGGGCAACACCAGGGTGTGACGTAGGCTGCCTGTGGCCAAAAGAAGTAAAATTAGACTGGTAGTTTTAGATGTTACAGTCAAAATATGAGGCAGCCTGAGGACGAATGAGGCAGGGGAAAGATATTTGAATATGTGCCAATTATTTTCATGTGTGAAAAAAAGTCTATACATAAGAAAGACTTTGGGCACCAAAAAGTCTCTTTCCTATTCTAAAATTTTAGATTTTTATCTACATATTAGAAAATAGGCAAGAGAGAGAAATAGGAAGGTTTTGTTTTCTTTTTTAAGTTAAATAAAGGACCTTTATTAACTTTACCCATAGACAAATGGCCTGGTTTTCTTCAGCATAAAGAAATAATTAAATGATACATGCAACTAAAATTGTCTTGAAACCACTGTGGTATTTCAAATTCATATATGTATTTATACAACTCAGTGCCCAGTGGCCCTCCAGGTTGGGTATTATTATAACGCATCTGTGGACATCACAACCCTCTTAATTAGTGCAACCGTGTTAAGTGAACACAGTGGCTATAGTGAGAACTTCGGGAAGAACATGATAGAAATGATTGAGAAACTTAAACTATTTTCTAACAGCTTAATAACTTCCGGATTCTACTCCACTATCAAATTTACATTATGCAAATGATAAATTTGGTAACACGTAACTAAATGTAAGTCACAAAAACATCTTTAGAAAGAATCATTGAATCATTTGTTAAATCTAAAAATGACTCTTCTTCATTTGAAGTCAATACTACCTGACAGAAGGTTTTTTTCCTTATGGATTTTGATAGATATACTGTGTGTATAATAGGAAACTTTTTAAATTTTTTTCTTTTCTTTCTTTCTTTCTTT